TTGCAAGTTTATCAAGGTGCTCTCCCAAAGAACTCCCACAGAGAGAGACTCAAAGTACGTTAAAAATACACTATATATTCATTTAATTATTATTATTGATTGTGTTACTATGTCTTTATATATATATATATGTACATATATTAATTTATTTTCCATTAATTCAAACACTGTAGACTCGATGGTTGGAGGAAAAGGTCATACGGCAAGACCAAATCAAAGCAATTCAAGAGTCTATAGCCGGATTTTTTAATGAGCAGGTCATCGATTCCAAAGGCGAGTTCTATCGACCCAACACGCCATTGAAGCCAAGCTAGAGGATGAGAGGAAACTTGTTATGTGTCACAACAACTGTAATGCAATCTTTTGTAATATATGCACATGAAATAATATAATGTAAAATACACATATGCATGCATGCATTTAATATATATATGATGCATGCATTCATATATATATATATATATATATATATATATATTTCTATGCTTGAATTGTGTGATTTAATACGTTCATTGTGCTTGAACCAAAACATACTATATGCACGTATAAATGTATAATTAGCAGCGTACAATACGACTTCGAAAACCTATTTTGAAAAGAAAACAAAAAAATGAAAAGAAAAGAAAAAAGAAAAAAACCTTTAGTCCCGGTTCGTAGTACCAACCGGGACTAAAGGTGCCGGCCATCGTGGCATGTCAGGAGGCATCTTTAGTCCCAGTTGGTGTTATCCACCGGGACTAAAGGTCCTCCTTTAGTCCCGGTTCTTGACCCGGGACTAAAGGACCCCCCTTTAATCCCGGATGCTTGCTCCCGGGTGGAGAACCGGGACTAGAGGGGGTTCCCCACCGGGAGTAAAACTCGATTCTCTACCAATGCTAGATCCAAACAAGCCCTAGGAAGTTAGTTATCCCGGGTCACCTTCGTGATTTCCACTCCAAGAAGTTTATCCCTGATCAATAATCCATAAAATTTAAGTATGTTATTAATTACCTACGGTACTGACACTCGTCCCACGAGATCCACGCGTCCAGTTTTTTTACCGGTGTTTATTGTTGGCAAGATGCAGTACGTATGCCAACTCATGCCGCCAGCAATTAAACTAACGTTTCTTCATGCTGTTATTGTTGGCAAGATGCAGTACGTATGCCAACTAAGAAGTGGCTGCAGTACGTATTTGAGTGCATATGCCTGTGTCAAGGTTAGTACGTACGGATGGCGCTAAACTATACGCGACGTGCACCGGCCGGCCAACAGATATCAAGTTGATCGACTACGGCGTCCCGTCTGGCGTCTGCGACTTGACGGTTCCACCAGATCGAATAGAGATGGGATCATGCACCAATAGGAATGATTTAAAAAACACATATATGACTTGACTTCAAAAATGGGATCGGATACATCTATGCTAGGGCAGTGAGATCAACTGTGTCAGAAGTTGTTCTTGTTCATTCACGGGCGTCCAGCGAGCTCAATCAATGAACAGTGAAGAGATTTGTACATTATATGTTCCTAGTCTCGAATCCTGTTTGGTTCATGTAGCAGCTGGCTCGTATCTGAGAGCCAGGCTCACATGGGACAGGCTGAGCACATGCAACGCTGTCATGTTTGGTTGAGTGTATCTACTCAACCTGGCTGAAAAGAGATGTTGTTTGATTGCCTGTGCGAAGATATACTGCATGGGATAAAAATATTATAAGGTTATGATTATGATTTTTATTTTGTAAAAATACACTCTTAAAGTTCTTATTTTATCTAATTCTGTCTTAAACATCTTTAAAACAAATTAATATCACTTGATATTTACTAATCATATACTAATACATCATAAGTCGAGTAAACAGCTGCACCGAGCGAGCCTGGCCCAGCAGAAAAGGCCGATTCGGGCGTTTCCCCAGAGCCTGGCCGTGGGGTGCTTTTTGCACGCCCAGAGCCTGGCCCGACGCCAGGAGCAGGCAACCAAACGAGGGCACCCTGCATCCCACCAGCCTGGTTCATGCAGATGCAGTGAACCAAACAGGCCCGAAATGATATGTAGATGATGCTACTATGTACAGTAGAACCTAATAATTAAGAGATTGGGTACATGCATGTTCGTAGTACATACAGTACAGCAGAGCTTTGGGAGTTTTGCAGTGGTTGTGTTTTGTGTGCGGACGCAAGGTCCACGAGCAAAACATGTATCTCAAATTAATAAGAATAACAGCAAGGCACATTTTAAGTTTGCTAGGACGATAATCTAACCTACAATTGTTCTATAATTTAAATTTTCATTATGCAAAACTGATCAATAAGTACGGATTAAAACCACAAAACTTTCAATTTGTCAACTCTTACCTCTTAGTTGTTATAACAAGAGACTATGCGAGGTATAACATATGTGGAATATGACAAACATATAGCAATTAGTAAGTCATGTGTTAGTTTTCTTGTATGGCCCTTTATTCACAAGCGAGGTGTAACATATGAGCATTGGTCGACAAAAAGTGATACCTACAAAAAAAATTTGGCTGAAATTAAAAAAGATTTTGATAAGGAGAACATGGGAAAAAAGTGATACCTACAATTTGTTTTTGGCTGTAATTAAAAAAATGATAAGGAGAACACCTCGCACAGCATGCTTTTATGTGATGTGTGCTCCCACACCACATGACACCCAGCGGTGCAAAGAGATAGAGATGGCAGCCACCCCTCACTGTTTCCAGATCTTTGCTTATTTATTAACAATTATTTTATTTTATTGTGCTAATTAGAATTCAAACTTGTGACCTCTAGTTTTTTTTTTTACACCAACCTAAAAGCTTAAACTAATGGGGTAGATAAACAATTCACTTATACTTCAACATCTTGTTGCTTGCAAGAAAGAAGAAAGGAGCACAGTGGAGTTGCTGCTCGTCATACTTCTCTGGTGCTTGGCGTGAGGAATAATATAAAAAGCTGGACTGTTGTACTAGCTTGAATGCTTCATCTGATTTTGGGGGGGAAGTGTACTTCTGGCATCATGTTGATCTGCTACTTCTGGCACAGAGAAAGAGAATTTTTCCCAGGTGCAGAGGGGTGGAGGGAGGTGCTAGCTTGCTGTACTCATGGAGGAGAGAGTGGAGAAGCAATAATTGACAGAAGTTTATGCTTGCTGCTTTCTTATTTATTGCTTAGTCGGGAGCATTTTGGTCGGTTACTTCTATCGGTTTATGCCCTATTCGTATTCAGAACTACTTTTCAGCCATGAAACAGTATTTTCTCTCACAATATTTTAGTATAAGTCAAATTTCAGCATTAGCCAGATGGCTAAAGAATGGAATAATAATCAAACAAAGTGAATGTGGACTGAATTTTTTTCCTGCTAGTGACTTGCATCTGGACTTGTTTATGCTATTAATAATGATGTTACGAAATTTACTGAAATGACTCACGTATGAATAAAGGGTGTCCTGTCATTTTCTTGCAATGTCTTCAAATGGACATGGGTGCTCAGGTTTATCAAATATGCAAAGCAAAGATGCAGTGTCTTGTTGGCCGTGATATGTTGGCTTGTGATCAGCTTGTGTAGTTTTGAGCAAATCATGCAAATTACGTGCCATTTTTTTTGAGCATCTAGTGTATTGAATGGGTTCCGGTGGTTGACGATTAATGTGTTTGGTCAAAAACGCCGACATTGATGATTCAAAGAAAATTACATTCATCTTGTTTATATTTAATCTCATTGTACCAAAAGAAGAACAAAATAAAGTACAAAGATTTTGTTCATACTTGATCATTAGAAACCTACCGACAACATCCTGTCCATGGGTTTTTTTTTATCTAAAAAAATCCTGTCTATGGATTGTTCATGCCTGCGCCACCGACCTGGAAGGAAAAGGCTAACACATCCTTTAGAAGGCTTAGCAGTTAGCACGTTAGAAAGTCCCCATCGAGTCTAGCAGTAAAATTGTTTCCTTCCGACGATTTGCTCTGGCTGCACTGCCGCCTTCGGCGGAAGACCCAACCCGTTTCCATGTGGCCCATTCTGATCCCAACGGCCGGTAGCGGGCCAGCGGGTAATGTTCCTCGTTGCCAGCGCAATGGCGTCTCCTGTTTACCCAGCGGCCAGCGCGCTTCTTTCCCATGGTCGCGTGTCTCGTGTCTCCTGGCCTCCCCGCCGCGGAGCTTTCCTCGCGGGCTCCCGTTGCTGTGTCTTCTCGCATCCCCGCAATCACCCGATCCTCCTAGGCAGGGACAGAGGATCCGATATGACGAGGTATGGCTATGGCTGCACCATGTTCGTTTAAACCTATCAGCCATCGTATAATGACAGTGTTGTTCGGCTGATGGTTTCTGTGAGTGATAAGCCGGCTGATGCTGTTTTGTTGTGAGAGAATCAGAGAACTGAGAAGCTTTTTCTTTTTTTTTGAGAAACAGCTTTTCTTCCGTTGGACTGGTGGAGGATGAAGACGAGATGGGTCTAAACGAATCGTTATTGTAGCTGGGCTCTATTTAGGCCAACTAGTGTTACGGTTTCTGTAGCCCACGTAAGTTCCCATATCGCTGTTGCCTGGTGCTGCCTATCCTCGTGAGGCCGCGAATCGTCGAAGAGGCAATCAGTTCATGGCGAATTGGGTTCCAGTCCAACGAGCATGGATGCGTTGGCCGCACAGGGAAGGATTGCTTAGTACGCGGTGTGTGACATGGATCGATTGGTTATTAGCTAGGGACACCGGCCGTCCGGAGCTAGCATTTCCCGTGGGGAAATTCCGGTGGGTCTGATTCTATGGGGAGTACTACTAGGCACGTAGTTGAGCGCTACGTACATTATGTATATAGCTTAGCATACTTGACAGGTTGCCATGCACATTATACAGCATCCAAGATCCAAGGCGGTATATTAAAACTACCATTAAAGGGCGCTTTTGGAGGGGCTCCGGCTGGCTCTCGCTCCGTCACTGTAGCACTACTGTCAAGAGTTTCAGTCGTTCGTCGTCCTCAGCTCCTGCTTCTTGATCGATCGATAGCTGGATGCATGGACGCTAGAGCTGCCCGACGAACCAAGGGGCCGTATCAGACTGCTGGTGGCACCATATCTCGATGGGCAGGCCCTTGTTGAACTCCACGTACGGGTGCGCCATCGGGACGTCCTCGCCGTCCAACCTCCAACTGTACTGGAGCACGAGGTGGTGCAGGAAGAAGGCAGCCTCCACTTTGCCCAGCTCCGAGCCGGGGCACAGCCGGAGTCCGCCGCCGAAGGGCGCAAACTTCTTGCCTGACGACGTCTGGTCCAGCCCCTGCAATGCAAATAAATAACGAACTCATCGCATCAGTAGCTAGGGAGTACTGGGATCGGTCGAATCGATCAAACAACACGGTTCATGCGTGCGTGTACCTCCCATCTGCAAGGATCAAACTCTTGGGGGTTCTTGTAGAGCGCAGGGTCCAGATGAACGGAGCCCAAAATTGGCAGCACTTTCCAGCCAGCTGGGATCACATACTCTGCCAAAACAAAGTACAATAGGGATTAGGGACACTGGAACAGACATATCCTCTCGCAGCATATACTGATTTTACAGTCATTGGGAGGCACCACACAACCAGTAATAGATACCACAAAATTAAGGAACAGTGTAATAATCCTCCCATCATGGCAAAGTGTGTTAGAAATGATCATATATATGATCACCCAAAAAAAAAGTATATCCATTTTATTTTACCTTTATATCTGACATCCTTAAGGGCCTTCCGGTGCACAAACTTGACAATGTTACCGCATCTCAACGTCTCGTTGATAACCTGCAACATCATGCAGGCAAATGTTGGGCTGCATTATATTTTAATGCAAGTATATATCGTCGTATGGAGTATCATGCTAACTAAAACAAATGTTCTTCAGATAACACAAGAGGCATGGGTTTGTTTATCGTCCGCTTCTCAACGGAGAGATGAATCAAGCAGCTTACACGTTGGGTATATTCCATCTTCCTGTACTCCTCAGCGGTCAAGAACTCATCTGTTGCCTTGCTGGACCTTATGCTCTCATGCTCTACCTACATATTACACAAGAAATTGCTCAGTATTGACAGATAAGCCTAGTGCTAAAGCACTTATATCTTATTTTTCCTGCACTTTTTACTTTCCTTGGCTTCCAAACCTAGTGTTATAAATATGCTCACTTTAGTGGTTAAATATGCTGTAGCAAGTGGGATTCCCTTTTGTCTATAAAAGGCAAGGGAGTGTCATTGTAAAAAAATAAGCCATTGCATTTCCATTCAATCCAAGCGGCCAAGGGTCAAGCTGTCCTCTGATAGTTCCAGATCTGAATCTAAGATCCAATCGGACCAACAAGTATATCTTTCAACACAACAGTTTGATCAGCAAACTGATTGTTCACCTTAAAATGCACGCACCATATGATCCCTGTCGTATCGTACGCACCTTCAGTTGCTCCAGACACTGGGGAGATTGCCCGACGAAATACACGAGCATGGACAGCAAGACGGAGGTGGTCTCGTAGCCTGCTAAAAGCGAGTCCAGCACGAAGGTGACCTTGTCATCGTGGGACAGCTCGCTATTTGCGATGAGCCCGTCTATGAAAGCAGACTTCCTAAATGACCCATCATCGCCCTTCCACCTCTCGTCCATAATCTCTTCCAAAGTGAGAGATATCTTCCTCCTCGCCTGCTCATAATAGTTCATAAGACTAAATTAAGAGAAGTAAAACTATGGTTTGAGTGGAACAATCCCATTTTAGATAGAGTGGAGCATCATGAGTTCATCCCTCAAATTTGATGGAATAACTACATTCCTCGTACTTATAGGGAACTGCTATATTTAAAGTGACTGAATTTTTAGGAATTTTCAGATAACAATTAAAAGAACAACCCAGAAGGAACAATTAGAAATTTTTTATATAAGAACAATGACAAAATTGCGCCTGCCTGAACAATAACAAAAAATCATACGCCTAAGATATTTGACCACGGATATACTTACTATAGTTACGCACCTCTACAGCTCTGGCATACGGTGTCCCTGGGATGTTGAGAGGGAGAGAGACGAGCCCCTTCATGAAGGTGGAGTAGTGCTCGAGGAGCCTGCGGATGAGCGGCGCCTCCGGGGACAAGCCCACCACCTGCTCCACGATGGCGCCGAATGCAAACTGCATGCCAAGTGCCGGCCAAACATGCATACAAACAACCCAGAGTCAATTCAAGCCAGAAAGAGAGACACGCTAACTCAGAGCTTTGGGATATGATAGAATCTAGGAGTATAGAAAGACCACGCGTGCAGTGCAGTGTGCCAGTGTGCAGACAAAACATGCACACGAGCGGCTACAGCGCAGTGCTGTCCCTTGTCACACGGGATCTTGTCTGGCCGGCCACCGATCTGGAGACCTTGTACAGCCACAGGAGCTAACGCGCCTGCGCAAAGGCTAGCTTAGGGACGGAGAGAGCTGCTGGGACGTCACCTGTTTTGCCTCGTCGCAGAAGGCAGCGGCGCAGCGGCCGCGCCAGGACGCGACGACGGCGCGCGCGGCCCGGTCGACGTCGGCGAGGTAGGCGGGCCGCAGCCCCGTGGAGGCGACGAAGGCCAGCGCCATGCCGCGGATCCGGCGGTGGCGCTCGCCCGTGACCACCAGGAGGAGGACCCGCCCAGGATGCCGCGGATCGGGCCGGGTAGCTGCACTGGAACAGCCGCTCCTCGTTCTGCAGCACGAAGTGGTTGAGCTCCTCGTCGCACGACACCACCGTCGGCGCGCCGAACAGGTGTGACTTGAACACCGCGCCGTACCTGCATGCCGGCCGAGCACGGTGGCGCGACAGCGGCAGCGGCGTATGCGTGCCGGCCGCGTGGGAAACGAGAGACCATCATGAGCAACGAAGGACGCATGTACTACTCTGGAACCAATTTAACGATAGATGCTGACTGACTACTAGATAGAATTATTAACGTCCATGCATGTGCATGGTGACGAACTTAACGAACCTGGTGATGTGACTGTGCAAGAAGTCGCCGGTGGTGTTGGAGGCGTGGGGGCGGAGGAAGCCGATGGTCTCACCGACGAGGGGCCAGCCGAAGCTGCCCCTTGGGGCGTCGGGGTTGCGGAGCAGCGGCAGGAAGTGGCGGTACACCACCGCGGCGAGGACGACGGCTACAAAGACAGCCAACAGCACAGTCGTCACCATTGTACACCTTCTAGATGTACAAGTCAAAATAAACGCGGAACTCTAAGATTATCTTGTTGGTGTGACAGAATTGCGGGAGGGATGAGACCCCGGCCCTTTTTATACGCGTATCGTATGCATGCTTTTTGGCTGGCTAACTAATGCTATTTACTCAAAAGGAATCCTTGAGTTTTTACCCTGCAACCTCTACTTATACTATGGCTTATTTCTGGAGATATATCTACACATATATTATACTACATATTTAATTGATTGTATGGCTTACTTCAGTAGATATATCTACATATTATTTGCAACCTCTACTTATACTATGGCTTATTTCTGGAGATATATCTACACATATATATTATAGTATATATTGATTGATTGTATGGCTTACTTCAGGAGATATATCTATATATTATAGGAGTATATTGCTTGCTTGATATACTCCGCATGTTCCATAGCGTACTACGCTAATGGGTCACATGGGTAACGCTGCTGCTTTTTTTTTTGAGGAAAGCAACCTGGAGCACTTTATTAATTTGCAAACACCATTACATTAGAAGCTAATGAGTCGCGTTGCCTGCGCTGCCATGGCTTCCGCCATGTCGCCAAGGACTGCAAGCGGCCAAGGCATGCTGCGACGTCAGCGGCGAAGGGCATCGACTGGCCACAACACTCCACTCGTGGCGGCAACCCACCGGCTCCCAGCACGCGCCTCGCGACGGCTCGAATGGGGCCGTGCTAGATGCCGCGGGGGGTGCCGGCAGAAGCCGCCGCCGACAATGGTGGCGCCAGAGTAAGCCGACAGGGGATTTTAGCTTGGGCGCGCCTGTTGACTGCGCTGACCACGCTGCTCCAACTGCTGCTGCACTCTACTTCCTCGAGCCTGATACGCTGGGGTCGGAGCTGTGCGTGAGTGTCGAGGCTCCCACGTGGGTCGACCCTATGCTAGAGGAGCTCGCCGCCTCACTTGTCGTGAGTCGCCTAGCAGGAGCAAAGGCGGCTGGGTGCCCATCGGCTTCGGTGACAGTCGCTCAGGAAGACACATCCCGGGTGGACACCTGCTCTCCAGTGAAGGAGCTCGCTACCTTACTCGTCGTGAGCCCCCTAGCATGAGCACCAGGACCTGAGTGCTCGCCTGCTCCGGCGGCCTCTCAGGAAGCAGACGCATCGCTGGTGGACACCCGTCCTCTGGCGAAGACTGCCTAGTGGACAACGGAGCGCCTCCGTTGCCGCCTATGAGGGGCCACCACAGGTCACACACACCAGTGGTTGAGATGCCAGGCGCGCCCCGACCCCAATGATGATGAAAGGTCCTAATATGGCTAGAGGGGGTGAATAGCCTATTAAAAACTCTATAAAATCGCTGGAGCAATTTGTTAGTACCCTAAACGGTGAAATACAATTTTGCTCTAGCTCTACAAGGGTTGCAAGCCACCTACCCAACAATTCTATTTGCTATGATCACTAATTCACACATAAGCCTAGGTTGCTACTTGCTAAGCTAGTTAGCACTCAAAGGCTAACTAAATAGCCTCACTAACCAAACTAACAAGCTCTCACAACTAGCTACACTAAAGAGCTTGACACTAGGCAAGAAAGTAAAGAAAGTAATACATGAGAGAGTAGGATGATTATACCGTCATGGCAAGTATGATGAACCAATCAATATGAATGCCAATCAATCTGGGAGAAATCCAATCACAAGATGACACACGATTTTTCTTCCGAGGTTCACGTGCTTGCCGGTACGCTGGTCCCTGTTGTGTCGACCAACACTTGGTGGTTCGACGGCTAAAAGGTATCACACACCTAGCCAACACTTGGCACCGCAAAAACCTACCCACAAGTGAGGTAACTCAATGACACGAGCAATCCACTAGAGTTAACTTTCGGCTCTCCACCGGGGAAGGTACAAGACCCCTCACAAATCACCGGGAGACGGCCACGAACAATCATCAACTCGTGTCGACTCCTAGCCGTCTAGATGGCGGCAACCACCAAAAGTAACAAGAGATCCGTAGCCACAACGATCCCAAAGTGCCACTAGATGCAATCACTCAAGTAAATACACTAGGAATCACTCACAATCTTGGGCTCCCGATCGATGACACGCTAGAGCTCGGGCCTTGGCTCCTACCCGGCCTACGACGCTAACTAAGGCCTAGGCGTAAGAAGACAAACCCCGAGCCATCGAGGCTCGGGGGCTCGCAGACACTGCGCTACGGGCGTAGCCGCGCCGACCACTTTCATGACAGGGTCACGCACGGGGCGTGACACAAGAAGACAAGCTTCCCACAGCCTCCAAGGGCTGGGCGGCTCCTGGGCCCGCGCATCAGCCCCTAGAGCCGATCTCCTTCGCCACCAAGAAGACTCCAGAAGGTCCACTTGAGGGAGGCTGGTCCAAGCCGACACAGCCTAACACGTAGAGTGTCAGAACAGAGCAACCGGACGACACCAATGCTTCTTCGGCTCCACGACACCACCACGGTCCACAGAGCGCCGCTGTATGACCCTCTTGGACTCTGACGCAGGTAGACCATAGACTCATCTCCCCAAACCGCCATGTACCTAACCTATCTCGTTATATAAGGGATAAGGTCAAACCTAGGAGAGAGGGGGGAGAGGAACCCAAGACATTCCATTCCATTCCATTTGATCCACTCCTGCTCAGCACCGAGAGCAGAGCAACATAGAGGAGGGGCACCGAGAGCTCCTCCATCGCGTGGTGAGGCAACCTTAGGATTAGCATCGTGCTAACCATCTACTAAATCTCTCTCTACACTCTGTTGTAACCCCCGATTTTGGGTGCTTTTGAGTATAAGGATCATCAGCTGCTGGACGTATGGCATCGATTGTCCAGAACCAGGATAAACCGTTGAGTCCTCTCTGTGATTTATGTGTTCTTGAGTCCACCCGAGCCACCGGAGACCCATACTCTGACACCGACTCGAACAACTATGCTTGCTGCGGTTCCGACCCCGCGATAGGTCCTATGTGTCATAATGTCTCTCGTTCTTCTCTATGAAAACAGGAACTCGGCCACAGCAAGCCACGCGGACTAGGGCGTCACGTCCGACCGGGGAGGGCAACCGAGCAGGGCCCCTTCGAACCGGGAGGAGAGGCCAGCGGGGAGTGTTGCGCCCCTCCCGCGCTGGGGAGGAGAGCCACGCCGGGGAGGGGGCTCGCGTTGACCAAGGCACCTGTCGTGTCAGAGAGCGTCCAGCCATGGAGGGGGCTCATGTCGGGGAGCGCTCACCGCTCCAGGGAAGCCCGCACCGCGGAGCGCACGCCGCGCTCGCGCTCGATGGCTGGTGCTGGCGGGGAAGAAGACCGGCCAAGGTGGATGCAGCTAGAGACCTGGATCCAGCGGAGGAAAGCACCAGCCGCGGCGAAGGAAGGCTGGCCCCGGCGGAGGACCTCCCAATCCGGCCGATGGGAGGTCCGGCGATGGGCCTGTGGCGCCGACGGTGGTGTGGATGGAGGCCGGTGGCCACGAGGTGTGGGAGGAAGACGCGCGCCTACAAGAGAAAAATGGTCTAGTAGATTTTTTGGTAGCCACCTTTAGGCCAACAGGAATGGATAGTGGGAGGGGGAATTTGGGTAGCCAACAAATCTGGGAGGCCTAGTACATAGTCTGCTTGAGTGGATTTTTTGCCCTCCAATACCTAAATTGGAGATAGGTAATGGGATAGGTAGTGTTGCTGAAGATGCTCTAAGATTCATAACTAACCAAGCAGCTGTGTCAACAAGTGTGTCAGCCTTATCTCATTGATAGAGTGGGATGGCAGAAAACCAAACACACTCAAAATCATCCTATTATAGTAAATTAAACGTCCATCTAGCTCATCTAATCACACTTCTCTCCATTCTATTTAGGTTATTTAGACTACCTCTTTTTCTTACTGTTAAATTATATTTAATAAAATATTTAGGGCCTAAATGACATGGTTTTACCTCCTTTTACTGTTTAAATGCTATTTCAATG